TCTTAGACAAAAATTCAATATTGAACTATTGTGCTTAGTCTTATTTTAGGTCTCGTATACATAAAATTAAAATAGAAACATCTCCAGAAGAGCTATTTTTTTTTTGTAAATTTTTGCGTGTTCGCATTAGTAGGAATTAAAGTTCCAATTTTGTGAAAATTAATTAAAGCTAATTAAACTATTCAGATTAGTGACGAGAAAAGATTTTATGTAGATCTGATGCCTTATTTAAAGCTGAGAAGTCGTTTACCCTATCAATATCAATGCTAGATCTTTCAAATTCCGATCGAACTCAAGCGCAGTCGTTAGATTTTGTGAATTAACCAAGAGACTCCTACGCTCGAAATCTTTACGAATGTCTTTTTTGTCAACGTTGAGCCTACTAATAGTACGGTCCTGTTGGAATTTTAAAGCTTTTCTAAACTGCATGAAACAACCTAAATCATAACAAGAAGGTCCTTTACATAAAGAATATTCTCAAGATGAACTGCATTTTTAAGTTTGAGAAATCACTTTTCACATGATGATTCTCAAGTGTTGAGTTGAATTAAATTTAACTATGGCAAAGGTTATAAGCTATAGTTTTACTTCCTTTTTTTCCAACATTGTGTGAAAAGTAGATTCAAATTAAAAATTAGAAATTCTGATTTTTAACTGTTCGATCTTGAAATTTTAATTTGAAAAGTTCTATTTTATTGTATTGTTTGTGAAGGGAAAAAAATAACTTTAGAAAACATTGTAAAATAAAAATATTTTGTCTCATTAATTTTATTAGTATTAATATTTAACATATCAAAATTCAAACCTATTCATTCAATATTGCCTATGATATGATTGCTTTAAGTTTTTTAAATATGTTCACAAAAGAAATATTATTCAAATTGACATTTAAATACATGAAAAAAGAATATTTAATAAATTTTAGACTTTTAAAATCAGAATTACTCATATCTTGATAATTATTGAATAAATGATTGAATATTTTAATATTTTCAATTCTATCAAGAATTAATGAAAAATTTTAGTGTGATATTATTATACTTGAACTAGCTTTATCTTTAAGAAAATGTTATTCAATTCTTATTTCTATTGAATTCTAATTCATTCTCATAACTATCCTCTTGTAATTCGATGTACTTATTCCAATAGAATAAATTCGAATGCTTAGAATTTAATTTACAAATGTCTTTTTTTTTTATCATAATCTTGTGTTTTTCAAATCTTAAACCATTTATTTTAACTAAATAATTATTAAAGAAACTTAAATTAACACCTGATGAAGATATGATTAAATTGTTTTCAAATTCAAATAAATGATCAACTATGGATTTTTCAAGTATGAGTGTAAGTGTTAAAGTCACTTAAAGTTAGACTCTGAAATACTTCATATAAATTGTTCTGGCTGTGGGTGTCAACTATCGATATAACAATTTTTTCCAAATGATTGGTGCAGTAGGTATCAGATGTATATTAAGATCTTTTTTCTTAAAAAGTCAACTTTAATAATACTCGTTGTTTTTCATCAATTGCTTTCTAACCGAAAAAGAAATTTTGATCGATCGGTCTTGAAATCAGTAATATCTTCCTTCTAGCATTTTTCAAGTAAACATATTTTTGTAGTATATATTCTCGTTCCACAAGAACTTCATGGGTCAACTACAGTAACTCAATAGGATTTCTCAAACATTTGACTGTATTGTCTTAATGCATTTTATTTACAGTAAATAGACAATGTTTAGGAAATGATTTTCTGTATAGAATCATCATTAATAAAATGTAGATATTTTCAATGTCATATTGTTAAAATTTATTTGAATATTTCCTTCTTTATTTGATCATTATCAATCCCATGTATGATAAAAATTAGAAAAACGAATTACGTTGTATTGATAATAGAAATTAACGAGTATACTGGATGCTTCTCTATTTTGGGTAATAATAAAAGGCTGAATTTCAGACCGATGTGACCAAAAATCGCTGATTGATTGTGAATTCAACACATACAAACTATACTTACCTTAAAAGATGGTGCATTCGTATTCTAACCTTAACATAACAACATTTTTTGATGAAGACAAAATTATTCAAGATGACTATAATAATTTTGTATACGCATAAATATATATATGTATTAGTCAGTTCTAAAGATGTTTGAATATTTCATATGAATAGTATATGTGATTCAAATGTCATAGGTAATAGTTTTTTTATACTCTTAATTTGATGAATGCATGCAGCCTTCCTTCTGTCTTACCGACAAAAAAAAGGACTGACTTAGACGAACTTATATGATATGATCTACATGAAAAACTAATATGTAACAATCAGTTTGACAGTGAATCCAATAAGGTATCGAAGAAGTGTCGATGTTTTATCAAGAATACATCCATACTCACATTCAAAATTTCTTTTCTTAGATGACTCAACTTATTCTTCAAGGATAAGCCGACATATCCTCTGATCATCGTTGAGAGATTGGTAGAAAGACTTCATTTCCATGACAAACAAAATTTATATGCATTCATGGTAAAAAAAAATGAATGTAATATCCTAACGTAGGGGGTGGGTGAAGAGAACACTCGTACTTATTTCCAAGTTGATATTCGTTCACCCACACTCTTCTTACTAGCTTTTGTTGACACTGATTTTTGATGGATTATTACAGGATTGCTATTGAAGAATTTCTTCTCGTTCACTTCAAGAGTAGTTACGAAGTGAATGCATCATCATCGAAAAAACCATAATAAAATGAATTGTGTTGCCCAAAATCTATATTTCGAGACTTTATTTAATATCATATATTAACGAAAAATGAAAATATATGTAGAATAGTTTTATAGTTTTTCATGAATCACCAATATATTTATATTGAAAATTTTCGATCTTTCCTATCATCACTATAAAACTAATTTACATATATTCTCATTTTTTTTTTCGATTCAACAAAATTTTTATCTGTTTTTTGTTTTTCTTTTAGATAAAATTTAGTAGATATACATATATATCAATCATATATAATTATTTGTTGATCAACAACAAAATTCACTGGTGTACCTCATCAATGGAAATATATATCGCATTAGAACATGTTTATGCTACAAGTTGACAAGAAACAGTCAAACAAAGAGATATAAACCAAAAGGCTAAGTGTTGTAGTAAACTATACCTAAAAATTGTCTTACGTCTCCATATCAGGAATTATTGATTCGATTTGAAGAAAATTTCATGTATATCACATAGATAGCTATCAAATAGTCTTGATCTCAATGTTTTGAATGAATTATTACGTGTGGTATACTATTATTAAATAAATGATTATGTTTGTAGCATAAAATATTGATAAAATACATATATATAGAATAAGAAAAATTCATCTTTATGAATATAATTCATATTACGAATGTTTTATTTCACTGTTTTTTTTTTTCTTTTAAAATATCTGAAATATGAAATAGATCTGATTTTTAATCTTGATCTTTTCGACCATATTTAAGAATTTTAACAAATTCTTGATAATCAAATAAACCATTTTTAATTGGAGCTTCTTTAAATAATTCATCAACTTCTTCATCTGTATAACGATCACCAATTGTCATTAATAATTCACGTAAACGTTCTTCAGATATTTTACCTGAACCATCTTCATCTAATGACATAAATGCATTTTTAATAACATCTTCTGGATCAGTACCCGTTAATTTTTCTCCAAATAATGTTAAAAACATTGTAAAATTTATATCACCTGGTGCTTCACGAATCATTCCATCGATTTCAGCATCAGTAACAACTTTACCTACAAAAAAAAAAAAAAATTCGAACATTCAAATAAAATATTTCGTATAAACAAAAATTTAATCATACCTAATGAAGCAAACATATCTTTTAAATCATCACCACTTATAAAACCATCCTAATTAAAAAAAAAAAATAAAAATGTAATAAAATTAAAAGAAATAAATAAACTATACTCGATCATGATCAATAATATTAAATGCTTCTTTATATTCTTGAATTTGTGATTGATCGAACATAGCAAATATGTTCGATGTAGCGCGTTGTTGACGCTTCTTTGGTGGTTTAGCTTTAGCTCGTGATGCCATTGAATAATTTTAATAAAAAAAATTTTACACGAAACAACTCAATTTATACTAGCGGTAAAAAAAAAAAGAAAAAATATTTATCTAAACAAAGAACATACTATAAAATTGTATGACATTTTTTTTCATCACCTACGCAAATAGCACATAACATGAATCACAATCATCATTTTATTTTATTTTTTTCTTTCTTTTCTCTCTCAACCAACCAACCAACCTACATAGATGTGTTATTCATCTTTCGCTCTATGATACACATTCGACAACCGGTGTAAATCATTCGCCCTCGCCTATCATCATCATCGGATCACAAGTGACTCCTTACATTTGTTGAGTTGTAAAAAAAATCAAGATAAATATTGAACACATAGATCGTGCATATATGTGTTTATATTCCAAAAAAAAAAAAAAAAGAAAGAAGAACAACAAAGCTGTTGTCCCCAATCGAAACAACAGATATGTTTATGAGTGTCAGACAAAAAGAAAAACCAGGACAAAAATGTGAAAAAAAAATTATACAGGAAAAAGAGAGAGAGAGAGAGTAGCACATACATTCTCCAGGGTCATATCATTAGAAAGAAAAGACAATAAGAAATTCTCACACAACCAAAATCTATTAGAAATACGACTCCATTACATAAGACAGACAATGAAGAAAAGACAAAAGAAAAAAAAAAACTAACCTACATCTAACACAAAAGGGCAGGTACTCGATTTAAGAAACAATAATAATCGAGTTTTTCACACATCTGATTATAAATAATATATGCGTGACTTTTAAAAGAGAATAAGGAAAATGAAATGATCACCGTCGGACGATATTTTCTGTAGAAGAAAAAAAAAGAGAAAATTGAGTGCATTTGAAAAACAAAATTTTCTTTCTTTTTTTTTTTTCAAAGTTATCTATTTGCCTTGAAGTTCATTTATTTCACTATTTCTTGGTGATACTAAAAAAGAAAATAATGACAATCATTATTATATATATATATTTTTTTTTTTTTCTTTTTCGTTGTAAATAAATAATTTACATGCTTATCATACAAACACGTACAAGCCATCAATCAATTATAACAAAATGAAAAAATAAATTTATACAAAAAAAGAAAAAGAAAAACATTCTTCATCACAAATTCTTCAAAACTGATTAAAGAAAATAAAATTTTAATCAAAAATATCATATATAAAATTCATAATATCAATAATTTTTATATATCATGCAATAAATGTGTTTTTAATTCAATTTCTGGAAGAAAACAAAAAAAAAATAAGAAAGAGAAAAATACAAACACAGCAAACATTTCAAAAAGGATTCAAATACAAAAAAACTTTTTTCAACATGCATTATTATTAATAAACATACCATCAACATAACGTCGTGCTATTAACTTCAACAGTTCATCAAGTAGTACAACAGGAAAAGATATTTTTAATACAGCTATCCATTCTTCTAATGTTAAAGGACAAATTTGAAATACGGTCTAAAAAAAGAACAAATAAATAGAACAATATATATATTTTTTATATTTTAAATTTTATTACATTAAACATTGGTATATAGAGAATCATCATATGTAATGACATAGATAAAGCAATAGCAAATAAAAGATATTTATTATACCAAGGAGGCATTTTAAGAAGAGATTGATTTTCAGATAAACTAAAAGAAAATTATTTTCGTTTTTTTTTTTTTTTTAATTAAAAAAAAAATATTCATTTCAATAATAACCTGTTAAGTGCATTTAACATTTCAACCGTAACCAATACTGATAGAGCCATTGTCATGGGATGAGGATCATCGAAGACATCACAATCAATATCTTCCCACTCTTTACCACCTCCACGACATTGAAAATGATGTGTCTAAATATATATAATGTGTACAAGTGTAAATTAATCAGATTAAATTCATGCATAATTTATCTGTTTATTTACTAACCAGCTGTGACCATGTTAATAATGGTCCATCGTGATATGAAACGTACCACCTGAAATTTCATTTTTTTTTTAAAGTGATTCAATAAACTTAAATAAAATCAAATTCTTACCAACATGAAGCACCAACAGTACCTGCTCCGACATATGCTATAATAAAGAAGATAATTAGCTAAATCATAATATAAAACAAAATACTAATAAGAATGTTGTTAGAATTATCTCTACGGGATTAAAATATGAAACAGCATGTAATTCCTGTTGTTTTATAATGAGATATGATCGTACATTAACAGCTGTCACAGTCTATGGGAGAAGAAATTCACATTTTTATCTCTAGTCTACAATACTCTTTTAAGATCGTATTTCACGAAAGGTCACAATAATAAGTCTGTTTCTATCAAATATTATGATATGACATGTATCATATTTAGATTAATAAGTTGAGAAATAATGATATAAATAGATACTATTATTAACTTACTTCCAACCGCCATATAACGAAAGAAGAGCCATGGTGTAATTAATGATTCTTTTGGATTACGTGGTGGACGTTCCATAATATCTAAATCAGGTGGATTAAAACCAAGTGCTGTTGCTGGTAAACCATCAGTTACTAAATTAACCCAAAGTAATTGAACAGGAATCAATGATTCCGGAAAACCAAGAGCAGCAGTTAAAAAGATACAAACAACCTAAATTATTTTAATTTTTTTTTTCTAAAATTGTTTTTCATCTATAAAATTCTACTTCTCCAATATTTGATGAAATTAAATAACGAATAAATTGTTTCATATTATTATAAATAGCTCGACCTTCTTCAACAGCAGCAACAATTGAAGAAAAATTATCATCAGCTAAAACCATTTCAGCTGCTGTCTTAGCAACAGCTGTACCAGAACCCATAGCAATACCAATTTCAGCTTTTTTTAATGCAGGTGCATCATTAACACCATCACCTGTCATAGCTGTTATTTCACCATGTGATTGTAAATATTCAACAATTTTTGATTTATGTGCTGGATCAACACGAGCAAACATTTTAGCATGACGACAAGCTTCAGATTGTTCTTCTATTGAAAGATCATCAAATTCTCGACCACTAAATGCTTGACCTATATTAAAAGAATTCGAAAATCAATAGTTCATTGATCATAAATAAAAATATGATTAGTACCTCGTGTATCTTGTGATTCTTTAAAAATACCAATACGTCGACAAATAGCTTCAGCTGTATTCTTATTATCACCAGTTATCATAATAACACGAATACCAGCATCACGACATCGTTCAATAGCATCAATAACTTCTGTACGTGGTGGATCAAGCATACCAACAACACCAACAAATGTTATATTATTCTATATATGAATAAAAAAATTTTCTTTTAAACCTAAAATCAATAATAAAAAAGAAAAATCTTACTTCATATGTAATAAATTTTCGTGCATCTTCTAAATCCATATCTTCTCGTTTTACTGGATTATCAATAGTTCCTAATGCTAAACAACGTAATGTATCACGTCCTGTTCCATATTGATGAACTAATTTCATTATTTCTTGTTTAATCTGTGCATTCATTGGAACTTTTTGTGTTCCAACTCGAATATGTGAACAACGTTCAACAACAGATTCTGGAGCACCTTTAACAAACATTTTAGCTGTTGGTTGATTACTAGTAGCACTTCTGCCAGCAGTAACAACATATGTTGACATAGATTTTCGATCACGTGAAAATTCTAATGTAAATTCTTTACGATATTTTTGACGAATTATTGTATTTGATGACATAGCCATTTCTTGTGATGATAAACGTGATTTATCTGTATTGAAAACATTCATTTTTTCAACAAGAACAGTTAATGCTGTTTCGGTTGCTTCACCAACTTTTTCAAAAATTTTCTTTGACTATTTTTAAATAAAAATAGAATATTGAACCAGTGTAAACAAAAAAAAAAAAGAAGTGAAAAAACTAACTTCATTATAATCTAATGCTGAATCATTACATAAAGCAGCACATTCAGCTAATTCAACTAATCCGCTACGATCTGAACAATTAAATTTTATTCCATTGAATAATATATCACCTTTTGGTTCATAAGTTGATCCAGTTATTTCAAATTGATCGATTTGTATATCATTACTTTCAGCTTTATTGAATATAAACATCTAATATGAAAATAATAAGTATCAATCAAAAAAGTATTCCTATTTGCAAAAAAGAACTTACTCGACAAACTGACATTTGATTTGTTGTTAATGTTCCTGTTTTATCCGAACAAATAACTGATGTACAACCAAGTGTTTCAACTGATGGTAATGAACGTACAATAGCATTTTTCTTAGCCATTCGACGTGTTCCTAATGCCAGACAAGTTGTTATAACAGCTGGTAAACCTTCAGGAATGGCAGCCACAGCTATAACACAAAAAAGAATCATTAAGAAAAATTTAAATAATAAAATAAAATAATTCAACCAAGTGCAACAGCAATTTTAAAATAATAAATAGCACCACGTAACCATGAACCACCATGTACAGGATCATTAAAATGACCAATATTAATAGCCCATACAGCAACACATATAACAGAAATAACCTTCATAGAAAAATAAAAAAACATGTGTATTGTTGTTTATTAATTAGAATACATACTTTTGATAATTGTTCGCCAAATTCATCTAATTTTTGTTGTAATGGTGTTTTTTCTTCTTCAGCTTCAGCCATTTCTGATCGAATCTTACCTGATTAGAATAAGAAATTAAACATGTTTTATCATTAATCCATAATAAATTTAATGAGGGGAAATTTCTCAACTGATTAATTATTTTTTTCGGTTGACACTATGTGCTTCATATAGAACCTAATGAGCTATGAATACATTGAAAAGATCCTTTAACTTATTACTGCTGAGATAATGCGTTTTTACGGTATTTTCTTAGTTAATGCCATGGTCTCCCGCAGAAACACTAAGAAAACACATTTTCGAATATTGACTTAAAACTTTCCATAGTGAGACTCGGTTCACCAAAAAATAATTTTTTATAAACATTTCACACAACAAGCAAATCAAAAGATTGTAAACATAGAATATGTCAGTTGAAAGAATTTTCTCATAACTTGAATTATTTTTTTTTTAATTTTCTTACCAATTTCAGTATTTAAACCAGTTCCAATAACAACACCTCGACATTTACCAGCTGCTATATTTGTTCCCTAGAATTGATAATGTTACTTATTCATTATTGTAAAATTTACAGATTTATTTGTCATACAGAAAAAAGAATATTCTTTTTATCTTGATTAACAGCACGTGGATCAGGTACTGGATCTGTATGTTTAATAACTGAAACACTTTCACCAGTTAATAATGATTGATCAACACGAAGTGTTGTTGAATAAATTATTGTTATACGTATATCAGCTGGAACTTTATCTCCAACAGCTACTTCAACAATATCACCTGGTACAAGTTCTCGAGCTTTAATTCGTTGAATTTGTCCTGGTCGATTTTGTCGAACAACTTTAGCTATTTCAGGTTCATATTCTTTTAATGCTTCAATAGCACTTTCTGCATTTCGTTCCTAATTTATGTTGAATTTCATAGAAAATAAAATAAAATAAAATAAATCAAAATATATTTACCTGCCATACACCGACAGCTGCATTCGCAATAAGAATAAGAAGAATAACAAGTGGCTCAACAAAAGCTGCTACAAGACTGTCTTCTTCTTTATGTTCTTCAAATAAAGCTAAGACCTATTTGAGCAATAAATAATATCAAATAAAAAAGAAATATGATACGATAAAATAAACTTACGAATGATATACAAGCAGCAGCAAGTAAAATTTTGACTAGAAGATCATCAAATTGTTCTAAGACAAGTTTCCAAAGTGGTTTGCCCTCTTCGGCTGGTAATTCTAGAAGACATCAAAAAAAAAAGTGTTTTATATATATATATGTATAGAGTTTATCAAATGTTTTACCATTAGGTCCATATCTTTCTAAATCTCGTTTAACACGTTCTTCAGAGAGACCTTTTGTCTCTTCAACATTATAAAAGGCGGCAACATCTTCTTTCGTTTTAGTCCATGGATAATCAATGACTGCCATTGATACGGACGCACGATGAGCCATGGCTGGTCGATGCATGGCGATCTAAAAATAAGAATAAATACTCATCTTTATTTAACTTATCTATTCTGATGAGAATAATTTTCAATTATAGAGGTCACTAGAAAATAGTTGATCAAATTTTTCATTTTCAACAATTGACAATGAATGATTATCGTGTTCTCAATGCAATTAATCTAATCAATTATCATTAAAGAAAAAAAAAAAACCTAAATACAAATAATTTCGATAGATTGTAATAAACATAGATAATATTTTATGACTATGTAGTTGCTGACAAGATCTTATAATTAATTATCTAATATTTTATTACAGTCATATATTTAACTAAAGTCTAATCATCGACATATATCAACAGAGTACAAATCAATCTATTGACATATTCATTAGATATGTTTTTCTTCAATTGTATGTCCTTTTTTTTTTTGTTTTCATTTAACAATAAAAAAAAGACACAAAATAATTATTATCTAAAGAAAAACATGTATATAAAACTATATGTATGAAAATTTTTTATATAATAAGCAATTGTTGAAAACAATACATACTTCAAAAACAATATATTTGTGATATCTTTTTTTTTCTATAGGAATTGTTAAATGAACTCAATAGAAAAAAAAGACCGAGTTTCTGTTATAAATTAATAAATAATAAAATGTAAGATTATCACAAGGATAATAATGAGATAGAATGAATTGTAAAGTCCACACATAAGAGAGAGAGAGACACGACGACAACAACCGGTTGTTGTTGTTGTTGTATATAGCAGAAGAGAAAAAGAAGGGAGAAAAGGCGGAAATAAACGATCTAGCATTCCATATGTATTTGTACAAAGACATATACCACAAAACCATTCGGAGAAAGAGCAAAAAAAATTCTTCCTATTCTGTTTAGTATCTCTTTCTTTTCCTCTATTACCAGAATGACTACAACATTTTGACTTATTAGTAACATTTCTTCTCTTTTTATCTTACGTCTCCTGTTTCTCTATCATTCTATGTATGTATATCTTCTGTATAATAGTACAACAATTTCTAGACTATCCTCGTGTACGTTTTCTCCTTTCGGTTTTTTTTTTTCTTTCTATCTATTCTGCATCATACAGACGGGCACCTTGGTAGAACATTATTTGGTTGATATTGGCGAGCATAAGACAAATAGATTTGCGTCAGTAGTTGCTTCTGCAAAGGCAATGATGATAATGGTAGGATGGGGAGGGAAAATAGAGAGAAAAAGAAAGACGAGAGATATTGCTGTTGTCCTGTTGTTGTTTATTGTTGTTGTCTTCGAGTAACACACCAAATAAGATATGTTTCGCTCGATTGACTAACATTTTGATAATTAAAATCAATAAAAGTTTGTTTTGTTGTTATAGAAATAGTCTATCTATGAATATATGTTATATGATCTATCAGATTTTCGCGTAGCCATTTCACATAGAAAATACATAAAAGATTGACATGTTTGATTGTGTCAATAGACAAAAAAATAAAATAAAATATACATTAGAAAAAAAGACAAACTAAATATAGTTGTCAATTATACTACCTGAATGAAATAAATTATTCAGTAGCAAAAAAAAAAGAAAACGAGATAACAATTGCGTGATTAAATTTCAATATTGAATCAATATTTGTTATAGTTTCAAGAGAAAGCTTTACCCAAATATTTATATTTCTGTCAATATACATGATGAGAGTTCAAGGATTTTTATATCGAGATCTTGTTGTATATCGTTTTCTATATTTCTTTCCCGTTTTTTTTTACCCAACATATGTTGTTAAATATCTCTCTTTATCATATCGACATTTTTCTTTCGCCGCTATAATCTGCTTCGTAGAGAAGAACGATTTGTTGTTTTCGAATGTATTGTCATCATGGTTTATCTCTAATGCTTGTCTATGTTAAGATTGGTATAGTAGCAAGAAATAAAAGGCTAACTCCGACAAATAATTGCTTTGAGAACTAAACGCAAAAGAAAAACCAGCAATCAATGATGACAAAAAACAATGCACGATATATTTTATGCTGCTCTTATTTCTTTCTGTTTTTTCCATCTAATTAATTCTATGCTGATATTTTCCTACTACTGTTAACCACCAAATATATTTCTTGTCGCCAAACTCTACAGCCAAGTAAACAGACATAAGAAAAAACAAGCCACTTCTACAATATAACATATATCGAAAAAAAAAAGAATATTGCTAATGACTTAGGTAAAGTATATTCTGAATAAAAAAAAAAGTAATCATAATTGTTACTAAGAATTGTGAAATATCGATTGACAAATCACTATATACATATGTTCACTCAAAGGTGTGTTGTTTTGAACAAAATACTGAAAGATTAACATTTATCTAATTATCGCATTATAAATTATGAAGAATATATGAAAAAAAAAAAACAAGAAAAAGACTATTCGTACATTCTTTTTCTATTGTGATTATTATTGTTGGCTACTTTTTGGGTTTAGTAATAATGACAATTGATCGTATTTCATCATTCTCCTGCTGTTATTTTTCCCTTTATTCTTCTTTGTGTATTATTAAGATTTACTCACATTAGAAACCGACGCTGATCGTGCACGTCTCTGATCCATCCGGAGGAAATATTGCACTATACAGATAAATATACGTCGACGCCTTTTTATATGGGTACCATCTCCATTATGATAGAAACATATGTGTAGAGACACGAATGGTTTGCCCGTAAGAAAAAAAAACCTACGGAATCCATGTGGAAGAAAGAAAAATTAGAAAATATACATGAAGTGCCACTATCTGATGTGTTGATGACGTTAGCACTCATAAATAAAAGGAAGAGATCATCGGTGGTTTCGATAGAAAAAAAACCCTAGTACTATTGTCGTTTCATTAAGATGAATATAAAGAAAACAAGCAAAAAAAAACAATAATATCGGTAGTCACACAGCATTACATATCATTAGTGATATCAAATTGCTGGATCTATGGGTGACAAATGCACTCATATAAACACATGTTCTAAATGCATATTTTTCCTGTTACAAAATCAGATAGAAATTCATACTTGACCGTTGGCCTAAAGTTATGTGTATATACTGTTTGACATAGCATGTGTTTGTATTAATTTATTTTTAGATCATTCAATACACTAGCTAGTTATATTATATATATTGTCATCGACTTTATTCAAATAATGGAATATCATGATCCAGAGGTTTTATTTTTCGGCAAGAGTAACAATTTGTTTTGATTAATTTCTCTGTCGTCGATCCTTGTTTTATGACTTCTATACGTCATGTGTGATAGTTTTATAATTAAATCCAAATAAAAAGATCAGTCCGCTAACGAGGTCAAAGTAAATTAATAGAATATTTTTACCATATTGTGGTTTTATCATATTGATCGACAACAGCATCTATGTGATAGGTATGACTAAGTTGATAGCAATCAGTGCATTCTATGTATTAGATCAAATGCTATTCATTTGTTCTTGATTCTTTATAGAAATATAAACATCATTAATAATTTGCTTTGATGACAAAATAACACTTAACTATACGAAAGCACAAATTGATAAATATCGTCTCTAAAACTGAAAGCAAAATCTAATTTAGTTTTCCCTTTAGGCCGATATCAAACGGCACGATTTCATAGGAAAACAATAAAAATAAGCTGCATTTCTCGAAATTATTCCATAAGGAACTGATTCATCTTCACATTCACAATATATCTGTATTAATATCATAATAAACAACATTTTCTTCGATATTTAACGATTGTCTAATGGCCCATTGAAGTAATCGAACAAAATCTAATCGTATTTTGTAATGCATACGAGTTTACATGATTGTTTATGATTATTATAATTATCATTCTGATTATATATACACGTTTCAAATGGAATGAAATCGAAAAATTGCTTCAGGGGACAATTTGTCTAGTTATTCTACTTCTTTCTTCATTTAACAACTGCGATATTTAACCCTATGTCACTTAAATGTTTCAGATTGCAAATAAAGTTTCATTGAAAATTAAGTTGAAGTAGTGATGATACAGATTTCTTATGACCATGGTATTTCGTCTAGATAATTAACAGTGATAGTGAGGGAGTATTAAAGCACTTAAACAAGCTTGAATCACTCAGTACTTCATAGAGCCAGAGTTAGATTTCATTGTTTTTATATGAAAAAAAAGCAACAAAATAAGGTTGATTTGGATGTGATTATGGCTGAGAATGTGTAGGTGTGGATGAAATTAATACCCACATCCAAAACTAGCATATTTCTCTCCATGAGTTATCCTTGTATTTAGAATACATTTATGATACGTGAATATGGAAGAAGTCAAATGTATCCAACGATGCTTCTTCAATTCTTAACTAAAAATCTAAATAAAATAATCGGCTGGTTTTTCGACTGCGGTAAAGTTAACATGGATTGCTCTCTTTTATTATGATAGAACTTTGCTATCGAAATCGAACTACAGTAGTAATTTCTGATAACAATCTTTTTTTCTGTGATATAAGTAAAGAGAAGCACAACTTATTTTGAGTATTGGTTTCTTTACGTTTGTATACACGTTCTTCGGTTGCACTACAATGGCAACGTGATGCTATTAGAAGACAAAGGTTGTTTATTACATTAAAGCAAATGAAACTATCCTCCACTGTTGCTTATGTGTTTTATCTGTTCTCCATGACATTGAAACGATTTTATAACTCATCTAATAAAATCCATTTCAGATTTTTATTTGATACATAGCTAAAGTTACGACGATATAAAATAAATTTGGTACAACACAAAATTCTTTTACTTAACTCAAGCTAGTTTTACACATTTCATCTTGAGATCATTCAAGTAAAGTATTAAGTTCAGTTAATTTTCATCTGATAGAAGTCACCTCAGTGACTCATAACACCAGGCACGTATGCAGAGAGGGGAAAATGACGAAGGGAATTCTGCTATTGCTTGAAGGAAAGAGATAGTTGGCAAAGGTACAGACAAACAGATTTGGGCGAAGAGCATAGGGTGTGGG